TTAATGAACAACAGACACTTTAAGGTACCATAACAATAATTTATTTCACCAAAATCCTTTTTAAAGGATTTTTTGATCATCAGGTAACACTTCCAACAATGAAATCTATCAAATATATATATATATATATATATATATATATATATATATATATATATATATTATAAGACATTTTATGTTTATACATTCTTTTATAGATACAAATATTTAAGTAAATGCTCTGTTTATAATAAACAGTATTAAATAACATTTACCTGAATCTCCGAGAAATTTTCATAGATGGTTCCATATAGGATACAGGTACGAATCCTGTCGGAGGACGAATATTTTTTATGAAAATTTCTCAGGCATTCAGGCCGGTAAATATTGGTAAAAAACTGTTTAATATAAACAGACAATTTACTTAAATATTTTTATCTATAAAAAGAATGTATAAACATAAAATGTCTTAAAATAATTGTCGAACTTTGTCCATTTCATAATGTGTGACGTCATTTGTTTACATTTGATACGACATGAGCATATATGAATGTACGTGAGAGATTCATGGATGATTGACGTTTAAATGCAGTAAATTCGACCTTGCTAACCGAAAGATCCTCTGTGGCCGAGGCGCGTCAGGCTATATGACGGTTCCGTATAGGATACAGGTTCGATTCCTGTCGGAGGACGAATATTTTCTTTGAAAATTTCTCGTATATTCGGGCTGGCAAATGATGTTTAATGCTGTTTATTATAAACAGAGCATTTACTTAAATATTTCTATCTATAAAAAGAATGTATAAACATAAAATGTCTTAAAATAATTGTCGGACTTTGTCAATTTCATAATGTGTGACTATATATATACATTGGGGGAAATAAATGATTGATTTCAGACTGTTTTTGTGTAGTTCATTAATATTGTACGCTTGGTTACTTTAATCCCTAATGCACGCAGATGTTCCTGCAGCTCTTCTCGGGTAACCTGTGGAATTTGTTGGATCTGGCGTCCTAATATAAACTCTGGGCCGATAGATGTAAGGTGTGACAATGTCGTTGTGGTGTATCCTATTCATGACGTTATGTATGTTTTTTATTTACAGAGAAGCATTCTACGAGTGGGCAAGTATACTCAAATATAACATTGGTCTGATATAGGTGGTTGGATGTTTGGAATATATTTTTAACAACTAGGTTGCTGCATTTGAATTTTTTGTAGACAATAATGAATCCGATCTATCTGTTTTTATTGACTGGTTTTATATATCTCGGGTTAATGCCTTTTTTATTGTTGTCTCGCCTTTTTTTGTAATTGTGGTGCATTTGAATTTCGCAATATATTTTAATAGCGTAATTTACAACATTATGTTTATGACAATGGTTATGGTCAAAAATGTTATTTAAATGAGATTTGGATTCGATTACATAATTATATATAATTTAATCCTTTAAAGAAAATTATTTTAGGTGAAGAAATGAGTTTAGCCCTTTGGATTAATTTATTAAAGATAGCAGTTTTATATTTTTCAGGGCGTTCACTGTCGCAGTTTAGAATATGGCATTTAGAACTGGTAGACTTTTGTAGCGGGGCGTGGTAAAATTATCGCGGTTATATATCAATAGTAATATCTAGAAATGGAATTCCTCATGGACTCATGACCCAGTGGATAAAGACGTTGGTTAGATCCAGTGACTACACCCAAAGTGTTGTGATTTGCATACCAGGCCGCAGCAGCAGCGAACCAAGTGAGGTGAGTTAAAGGGAAATAACTGAGACATCCGGAAGAAGCATTACACGTGGAACTAGAACAATCTACTCCGTTAGACGAAATAAAGGGTCTGTTCTAAATTTCAATTAACTGAAGAAGGGCGGAGCGTATAACGACCGAAACGTTGTGAATATGGCAATTAAGATGAGGATAACTGTCCGAATAATGTAAATAATGCAAGTAATCATAATATCTCATCACAGAGATATAGACAGAATTTATTTTTTATTGGTGTTCAATTTATCGAATAATAAAGTTTTTTAGCAATTTTTAAGGTTCTGTAATGTCATTGACAGATTTGGTTTGGATAAAAATGTCATTACTATATCTGGCATAAATTGAGGGTTTATTAATTTTATTAAATATTTTGTTTTCCATGTTAGTCATATAAAACTAGCAAATACGAGCAAAATGAAACAACAAAACCGGATTTATAATCATCGAATAAATACTCATACAACAAAAACAACCAGATATAAATAAACGAATTATAATTTAAGTGCTAGCATCCTCAAATATAGACAAAAATGAAACAAATAAAACGCACCCACATGTCACACTGCGCTAATGCCACAGATTTCTTTGCCCACGTCACTATACTCACTAGTTCTATGAATCTCACCATTTTTCTCTACCTACCTTGATGATGACTTAAAAAAGTCGAAAGCTTGGACCATATTTCTTCGAAAATGAACTTTGGACAATATCTCAATAAAATTAATTGCCAAATAAAGGTTTGTTCTCTATAACATTTGCTTAAAAAACATCTGCTGCCTAAACACACACACACACACACACACATATATATATATATATATATGAAAAGTGTATATAAATATAAATAAATATATATATGTATAATTATTTATATATTATATGCGCGGTACTTATTAGAAAGCGCTCAATATCAGAGATAGAGCTAACATATTTGGTTGGATTACAGTTTGTCTGAGGATCACTAAAGCATGAAACCCAGGGTCACAAACTCACATCTATCCAACCATATATATATATATATATATATATATATATATATATATATATATATATATATATATATAAGTGGACGTTGAGGTCAAGCCTCAGCGGTGAAAGCCTATTTCATACCTGATCGTTGCGTTTAAGCATGAAAGACGGCTGGATGTTGACTTCAGTGTTCACTTTTATATTTACCTACGCTCTATTCCGTATATCGAGCACATTATATATATATATATATATATATATATATATATATATATATACGCACACAAGTATATATATATACGTATACGAGAGTGTATATATATATATATATATATATATATATATATATATATATATATATATATATACAAAGAAATTTGATTAAATGCATTCGACAAGAACCATCTGATTAATTGTATTATTCGGTTATCGAATAAGGTGCTGCATACTGGAACGAAATTTGTAGATAAACTCACTGAAGTTCATGTTTGTTCTTTTGTTTTGTTCAAGCCTTTTTGGACGTCTCAGTTGTTTTCGAGAGACGTGTGGAGTCTGTGTAGTAGAAAAGATTCTGTTAGATACATCCCGACATTGTTCAGAAAATTAAGAATTTAGAATATATTATTATTATTATTATTATTATTGCTTGAATTTTGAAAAAAAATACAGTAAGAAAATCCATGTCGGTTATATATATTCAAACTTGTTTGGATAAATAATTGTTTCTTACTTTCATCGAGACGTGGTCGATCATGGCTCTTTGCAGTTTCATTTATGTTCCTTTTACGATGGCTGTTTAAATTTGTGCAATTCTACCTGTAACCAATGACTAGAACTTTACCAAATATGATGTATGTAATGTATCTACTTTTCCTATGCTTCAGGAACATTCAATGAAAATTACGCTTGGTAAATTCTTTAAGTGGACATTCTTCATTGTGTCGCAAATATCGCACATAGAGAATCGGTGCGCCAAATGAACAGAAAAGGAATCCCGCTAGTTTTTGCCGCCTCTCTTTTCTTTTGTGTATTTCTTTTTTAAAGAGATTTTCTAAGTCTGGCACAAGGCCACACCATTGAAGTATCTAAATCTTCATCGTCCTTATGTGCATATTTCTCCCGAGAAAATGATTTAGTAATGATCGCGCAACGGTACGCGTTTGTTTATTTTGTTGAGTTTGGCACAAGGATATACTTGTGGCGAACTCAGTAAGTAAGAAACTTTATTATTCTAGTATAGAGGCATGGTGGGGTAATGAATTGAGCAATAGGAGAGCAGAGTTCGAATTTCAATCGAGTTCATTACATTTACATACGTGCTATTAGCCTTAGGAATCATTTTCTTCTCCACCTCCAACTATAGATACATCACAGGAGAGATTGCACAGTGTGACATGTGGGTGTGTTTTATTTTTCTCATTTTATAACCTTGGGTGATAACCAATCTAGAAATAAAACTCTGAATTCAGAATCTCTAACTATGGATAAATAGTAAGGCAGTTGGGGCTCTGTAGCTAAGGATGACGAACAGAATAAGAGAAGAAGAAGTCTGAATTCAAAGCTGGAATCCCTAAGACAATCCGATGTTATGTTCAATTTCATTCTGGAAACTCCTTCGATGAAGCTGGTGCTAAGCTGTATTAGTCTCTGCCTTTCCCTAGGAAAATATCGATGGCGTGGAGAAGGAAGAATTACTGCATGGTCAACTGCCGATCTCCCTTAAAAAAGACAAAACCTGCCTAGTTTTGCATCCTGGGGAGGGTATAACACTTCGTGTACAGATCCATAGTCTCCCGAAACCATTGAATTACTCACAAGATGTGATCTCTAACAATTGCATCATGCTAGGTACACAGTTTGGATTTGGCTATAAATATATTTATTATTTTGGTGCCTAAATACATTAATTTATTGCCATTTCTTAAACACACACATACATATGTATATATATATATATATATATATATGTTTACGGCTTTTCCTTTGACATTTTCATCTGTAGTTTTTCTCGCTGCGTAGCCTTTTTATGTTGGCGATTTTTTCTACACTGAAAGCCTGGCTTTAATTCCATCAGAGTGCTTTTACCATAAGCGTTGCATTAAAACAAACTTGAACTCGAAGAACTGCCAACATTTGGCACTTAGATTTTGATAAAAAATAACTTATTTTTTTCTTTCTTCTCGCTTGCTTTCTTCCCATCATGTCCATCTTTCATTTATTTTCTTTCATTTTGACTTTCATTCTTTATATTTCTTTCTTTCTTTCTTTCTTTCTTTCTTTCAGTTCATCTTTCCTTTCAGCTTTCATACATTCTTTCTTTCTTTCTTTCTTTCTTTCTTTCTTTCTTAATTTCTTTCCTTCTTTCTTTCTTTCTTTCAGTTCATCGTTCGTTTCAGCTTTCATTCATTCTTTCTTTCTTTCTTAATTTTTTTTTTCTTCCGTTTCGTTTTTCAGTTTTCATCTTTCGTTTTTTCTTATTTTATTTTTTTCTTTCTTTTTCTTTTTCTTTCTTTTTAATTTTCTTTTCTTTCTTTCTTTCTTTCCGTCTTTCTTTCTTTCTTTCTTTCTTTCTTTCTTTCTTTCAGTTCATCGTTCGTTTCAGCTTTCAGTCTTTCTTTCTTAATTTTCTTTCTTTCTTTCTTTCTTTCTTTCAGTTCATCTTTCGTTTCAGCTTTCATTATTTCTTTCTTTCTTAATTCTCTTTCTTTCTTTCTTTCTTTCTTTCTTTCTTTCTTTCTTTCTTTCTTTCTTTCAGTTCATCTTTCGTTTCAGCTTTCATTATTTCTTTCTTTCTTTCTTAACTGCATCATTCACTCCGTTTTTTCTCAAGCTTTTCTTTTCCTTTTACAATTTCTTATGCAATGCTTTCTTTATAATATTATCTCTTTCTCTCTTTTCCTTTTTCTCTTGTTTTCTATCCTCTATCTTAGCGCGTTCTTTCTGACTTTCATTCTATGTTTCTTTCTTTTCTCTTCCTATTTCAACTTTTCTTCTCTTCATAATATTATCTCTTTTTATCCCTTCCTTTTGTCTTGCTTTATATACTTTTGTATCTTAAGCCATGTTCTTTCTTTCCTTTCTTTCTTTCTTTCTTTCTTTCTTTCTTTCTTTCTTTCTTTCTTAATCTTCTGTTTTTATTCCTTTCTTTCTTAATTTTTTCTTTCTTCCTTTCTTTCTAGTTCATATTTATTTCCCTCTTTACTATTTTCTTTTCTTTTTCTTTCTTTCTTTCTTTCTTTCTTTATCTTCTGTTTTCTTTATCTTCATTCATTTTTCTTTCATTCATTTTTCTTTTCTTTCTTTCTTTCTTTCTTTATCTTCTGTTTTTTTTTTTTTTCTTTCATTCATTCATTCTTTCTTTCTTTTCTTTCTTTCTTTCTTTTTCCTTTCTAGTTCATATTTATTTCCCTCTTTCCTTTTTTTTTCTTTTTTCTTTTTCTTCTTTCTTAATCTTCTGTTTATCTTTCTTTTTTTTCTTTTTCTTTCTTTCTTTCTTTCTTTCTTTCTAGTTCATATTTATTTCGCTCTTTTCTTTTTCTTTCTTTTTTTTCTTTTTTTTTTCTTTTCTTTCTTTCTTTCTTTCTTTCTTAATCTCCTTTCTAGTTCTTCCTTCCTTTCTTTCTTAATTTTTCCTTCTTTTTTTTTTTTTTTCTTTCTTTTCTTTCTTTCTTTCTTTCTTTCTTTTTTCTTTCTTTTCTTTTCTTTTTCTTTCTCTTTCTAGTTCATATTTATTTCCCTCTTTACTTTTTTTTCTTTCTTTCTTTCTTTCTTTCTTTCTTTCTTTATCTTCTGTTTTTCTTTCATTCATTCATTCTTTCTTTCTTTCTTTATCTTCTGTTTTTCTTTCATTCATTCATTCTTTCTTTCTTTCTTTCTTTCTTCCTTTCTAGTTCATATTTATTTCCCTCTTTCCTTTTTCTTTTCTTTTTTTCTTTCTTCTTTCTTAATCTTCTGTTTATCTTTCTTTCTTTTTCTTTCTTTCTTTCTTTCTCTACTTTCTAGTTCATATTTATTTCGCTCTTTTCTTTTTTTTCTTTTTGTTTTTTCTTTCTTTCTTTCTTTCTTTCTTTCTTTCTTTTCTTTCTTTCTTAATTTTTCCTTCTTTTTTTTTTTTTTTCCTTTCTTTCTTAATTTTTTTTCTTCTTTTTCTTTTTTTTTTCTTTCTTTCTTTCTTTCTTTCTTTCTTTCTTTTTTTTTTTATCTTCATTTTTATTTCCTCTTTCCTTTTTTCTTTTCTTTTTTCTTTCTTCTTTCTTAATCTTCTGTTTTCTTTCTTTTCATTTTTTCTTTCTTTCTTTCTTTCTCTCCTTTCTAGTTCATATTTATTTCCTCTTTCTTTTCTTTTTTTTTTCTTTCTTTTAATCTTCTTTTATTTTCTTTCTTTTTTCTTTCTTTCTTTCTTTCTTTTCTAGTTCTTTTATTAATCTCCTGTTCTTTCCTTCCTTTCTTTCTTAATTTTTTCCTTCTTTTTTTTCTTTCTTTCTTTCTTTTCTTTTTTCTTTCTTTCTTTCTTTCTTTCTAGTTCATATTTATTTCCCTCTTTACTTTTTCTTTTCTTTCTTTCTTTCTTTCTTTCTTTCTTTCTTTATCTTCTGTTTTTCTTTCATTCATTCATTCTTTCTTTCTTTCTTTCTTTCTTTATCTTCTGTTTTTCTTTCATTCATTCATTCTTTCTTTCTTTCTTTCTTTCTTTCTTTCTTCCTTTCTAGTTCATATTTATTTCCCTCTTTCCTTTTTCTTTTCTTTTTTTCTTTCTTCTTTCTTAATCTTCTGTTTATCTTTCTTTCTTTTTCTTTCTTTCTTTCTTTCTCTACTTTCTAGTTCATATTTATTTCGCTCTTTTCTTTTTCTTTCTTTGTTTCTTTTTCTTTCTTTCTTTCTTTCTTTCTTTCTTAATCTCCTGTCTTCCTTCCTTTCTTTCTTAATTTTTTCCTTCTTTTTCTTTTTTTTTCTTTCTTTCTTTCTTTCTTTCTTTCTTTCTTTCTTTCTTTCTAGTTCATATTTATTTCCCTCTTTACTTTTTCTTTTCTTTCTTTCTTTCTTTCTTTCTTTCTTTCTTTCTTTCTTTCTTTCTAGCTCATATTTATTTCGCTCTTTACTTTTTGTTTTCTTTCTTTCTTAATCTTGTTTTTTTTCTTTCTTTTTTTCTTTCTTTCTTTCTTTCTTTCTTTCATTCTTTCTAGTTCATATTTATTTCGCTCTTTACTTTTTCTTTTCTATTTTCTCTTAGAATTACCTATTTCTTTCATACTTATAGTTTTCTCTTTCTTTTTTTCCATTTCTTTTTCTCCTTTTTTCCCTCTATTTTATTCTCTCTCGTTTATATTTGTTAGTTATCTGTGTACGCCCTTAAAATAGAAATTATCTTTTCTCTGCGTAAAATATCCCCTGCTTCATATATTCATAAAATTTTCGATTCGACAGGAAAAAATAAGAAATCTACCCGGAGTTGCTAAACATTCGCCGTTGATATTTGAAATTTTCCAATTCCAGAAACCCCACCCCAAAAAAAAAAAACTTAATCCCCAATCTTCATTTAGATATTGAGAACTACCTATTATTCTTCAATTATATAATTATATTTTGGTTTTTACTTCTCAGTTTATTTCTTTTTCCTTTCCCGTTGTTTTTCATTTATTTTCTTATTTATTGGTTTTCGTTTTGTATTTTCTTTGGTCACTTGGAAGACTTTGCGTTGGTTTTATCAATACTTTGATTTATTCCCCCCCCTTTTTTCGATCTCATTAACCTTGTATGAACGAGAAGATCATCACCCTCACATCGTTCCCTTCAATAGATTTGATCCCAGCCAATTCCTTTAAAATTTGATTCCTTGCCCAATTAAGAACCCCCCTGCTTTCTTCGCCAATGTCGGCTGATTGAAGCAAATACGAAACTAGGAAGTGGGTGTCGACATCACTAAGAAAAGATCCAGCTAGGAATTAACTAAAATAGAAAAGTTTTACCTCAAGGGCTTAAGCTCAACTTTCTACACACCCTCCTCCATATCTTCCTTTGTCTATACTTCTTTCTCTGTCTTCATATATATATATATATATATATATATATATATATATATATATATATATATATTTGCATGTGTAAGTATGTGTGTCGATACTGTGTTTGAATTATTCTCTTCATTTCCCAGCCTTTTGATACTCTGTCTTCTTTTGGCCCTGCTCAGAGATTTCCCAAATTTAAACTCGCAATAAATCCTAATTCTTGATTCCTCGCAGCGTTTTTGATTTCCGTATCCGCCACTGGAAACACAAGGGGAAAGATCCAAATTTGATTACTCCTCCTGTTTCATTGGCTTCCTTGATTTCTCTGCCCGTACGATCAAGGGATTCGATGCTTGGGTGGGGGAACTTCTGAGAAAGGAAGGGGCTTGTTGGCTAAGGCAAATGACAAGGCAAGCAAATGCAGCAGTTTAGGTTCATATCGACAGGGACCCTCATTAAAATTTCCTGCCCGCGCGTGTGTCTGCATAAGACTTAGGCTGCAAAGGATCAATACTTCGTTGCTTTAATAATGATGGATTCCGACGAGTATTAAATCAATTCCAAGACTGACTTAAAAGTAAATTTCAGCAACCACTAAATAAGAGATTTTTATAAAGGCAGTTGATTGAATGTGAGGGGTAGCGTAGTGGCTATCTGTACAAAAAGTGTATATGGCATGTCGAGATCTAATTCCAAGCGAGACTATTGCGTTTACTTTCACACGATTACCCTTAATTCGTTTGAAACATTATGAAGATTAAACGCACTACATCGCTTATATTTATTATCTTGGACCAACTGCTTGATCTGCTGCTAGAGAAGTTGGTTCGTTGTCTAGTCCTAGACAATTTTCTTACCAGAATCTATCTTTCTGATATTTAAGTCTATCTTTCGTTTCTGCATTGAAATTGGTGCCAAATCTGGTCTAGTGCTTTTGCAATATATTTAAAGATTCCTGATCAGATCTAAACAATCTGGAATGTTACTGGTCCAAATCTGGTATTAGATTTCCCACCATCTTAATGGAGCTTAACTGTGTTTTTTTTGTTTTTTTTTTTTTAGAAATATTTTCATTGTAAATCTTTTGATGTGTTTTCCTCTTTGGTATCAAGACTTCACGAATTTAAGTTCATTACATTCACTTACATGCTATTAGCCTTAGGAATCATTTTCTTCTCCTCTAACTATACATCACAGGAGAGACTGAGTTCTGTAGCCTTGGGTGGTAACCAATCTAGAAGGAAAACTCTGAATTCAAAAGCTCTAACTATGGATAAATAGTAAGGTAGTTGGGGCTCTGTAGCCAAGGATGACGAACAGAATAAGAGAAAGACAACTCTGAACTCAAAGCTGGAATCCCTAAGACAGTCCGATGTTATGTTCAGTTTCGTCCTTCGACAAGCGCAGTACTAGATTGGTAGTTAGGTCTCATCATTTCTTAGTTGAAATTGCTAAATGTAACCATAATTTCTATGCTAATAGTTTGTTCTCTCATACCTATTGCTTGCGCTTGTAGAACTCAATTCCAGCTTTAAATGTAATGACAATCGTTATATTTGTATTAATAACGATTTTTCTCACATTTTTCACTCTCAGCAGGTATTCGCGTCGTATTGACTTTATCGTGTTGCTCGGGTTGAAATGATTAAAAAAAAGTCACAATGGTTGAACACGCCACACGAATCATGATCTCATAGAATATCTGATACGCAATGATACGTCAAATACAATTCAATAAAATCCTTGACGTTACTGTTATCTCTGTAAGCAATGCTGCGGATTATAGGACCTAATTTTCTCACGTTAAGCAAATCTCCAGCGCTGTTGATAGTGTGCAATCTTCCTGTTAAATATCGTGTCTATGAGTTTACTTCTTGGGGGATAACCGGCATCGGAGCTTTCGTGACACTGGGTAAAACCAGATAAAGGCACTATCTTTCTATTGGTCCAGACCTACCTCTTCTATACTCCACAGGAATCAATTTTTCCGACGTTATAGTTCTTATAGGGCACCGTAGATAGGTTTGATTCTCTCAATTACTCGCGGCCCTGAAAGCATGTGTTAAAACGTAAGTCTTCAATCCATCCTATATTTAATCGATCAAGTGATATCATGTTCTGCTGCTAACACAGAATGTTTAGCTCCAATTTTACTCAAAAAGGGTTTGTTGTTAGCTGGGACAATAAATGGCTTTTTAATTTTAAAGGGCTCTTTTCAGGGTATAGGACAATTCAACACCGCCAACTTACAACTCAGAACGAAGAAAAGTCAGCACCAGAAAAAAAAAAACTTGCTTAAAAATAATTAAAAAAACAAAACAAAAAAAAAACTAGTTTATATTTTACATAATACCTTTTCAAACGCATTATTTGAAGAAAAATATTCACTAACTGAGGTTTTAATCCTTAATAAATTATTTTTATTCAGTTACTACGAGCATGGCCCGGCGTTGCCCGTGCTTGATTCAAAAATTGTACTACTCATACAGCAATCGCTATCACTTGACTTAAAATATTTTTGCCCTTCCTTGCCTTTAAAGGAGTGCCCTTTGCCGTGCTGATGTTGCTACATGCCTTACTTCTTGCCTATCACACATTGCGAATTTTTTCTAAGCTCTATACTAAACATTAAATCTGTTACGAAAAAAGAACTAAACAAAATGAACACAAAGCGATCAGCTTTAAAAAAGGACTCGTAACTGCAAAAACCGAATGAAAAAAGAATGTTAACAACAATTATTTTTTCACACCTAACCCAGTTCTGCGGAATCAGAATCAACGTTGAGTTTAAGCAAGCGAATGAGCCAATTGGAGTAAAGTGCCATGCAGATTTAAATTTTTCCCACTTGTGACGAATGCAGCTATCGATTTTTTTTGCATGCTAGCATGCTAGTTAACATTCGTGTGAGTCAGCTGTTGGCTCTCACGCTGGCCAATAGAATATTCCTGCCTATTCGTGGCAGCCATCTATAGGCTCTCACTCTACCCAGTATAAAATGGCCGCAAACTACATGAAAAGTGCTGTAGAAGCATGAAAAAATCGATTATTTCCACTATCGATGGGAGTTGGGAAATGCAACGTCGGTCTTGGCCTTCCCGCTAACTTGGAGCATGTGCATGTAAATTTTGGTGCAAATCCGTCGAAAATTGCGGCCGTGAATTCGTTACACACACACACACACACACACACACACACACACACACACACACACACACACACACACACACACATCCTGCCTTTTTTGATAGATATAAAAAGTTATGTTGTTCTGGTGCAGAGTTGTCTCATTCCTGAGTTTTCTCAGCGCTCAGTCGGCGCTCCTGAGTCGGTGGTGTTGAATTGTCTCTTCCTACTCCTTCAATCATATTAGCAAAGCGATTTTGCCTTCCATCAGCATGGCTGATGCGAATCTTCAGTTTTGCACTTTCTCGATCTCACCTTTTTCACTGGCATAAACGATTTTTACTAAATAGATTAGATAGTTTGCTGCTAGGAAAGTTGATTTCAGATGTTTGACCTTATTCCACCCCAGAATCTTGTACATGTATGTCGACCATTCGTCAGTGCATGGAACATTACTGTGACATCTGTTCCGGTGCTTCTGTAACATATATATCTAAGGAGCTTATGCTGTAACCACATTAGACACACCAATTCTAAATCTACTTTTAAAATCTATCCCAACTTTAACTGTAAAAGTCATAACATAATTTAATTATTAGAATGCATACTATGCCAGAAACATTATTTGAGAAAATTTGAATGGCCCTATCACTACAGAATAAATAATTATCGGAATCGGATCAGTCGGATCCCCACGAAAGATCATTACCTGTAGAACAACATTTCTACCTAGAAAAACATGATTTTAAAAACCATGCAAAATTCATTATAATTGAAAAAATGGAAATAGACAAAAAATAGAAAAATGGATTTTGCACCTCAAATTTTGCGTCCAGACAGGCTTAACCACAAATTTAACAACATATAATTAATATATAACCCCATAAATCAAATCCTAACCACATTTACCACTCACACAAAACAGACATGCTTGCGCATGTGCTGAGGTCTCACACTTATACATGCATACGCTTACACACATCATACACACTC